CTTTTGTGCATGGCAAGAGAAAGGGATTCAGATTCATTTTGTTGCATATGGATTTCCAGTTTTCCCAGCACCATTTGTTGAAGATGCTATCCTTTCTCCATTGCATGCTTTTAGCACCTTTGTCAAATATAAGATAGTTGTAATTTTGTGGATTGGTCTCTGTGTCCTCTATTCTGTACCATTGGTCCACCCGCCTGTTTTGGTACCAGTACCTTGCTGTTTTTGTTACTATTGCTCTGTAGTATAGTTTGAAGTCTGGTATCGCTATACCACCTGTTTCACTCTTCCTGCTTAGAATTGCTTTTGCTATTCTAGGTCTTTTATTTTTCCAGACGAATTTCATGATTGCTTTCTCTATTTCTACAAGAAATGCCTTTGGGATTTTGATTGGCATTGCATGAAACCTATAGAGAACTTTTGGTAATATCGCCATTTTGATGATGTTAGTTCTGCCTATCCATGAACAGGTTATATTTTTTCATCTTCTAAGATATTTTTCTATTTCTCTCTTTAGGGTTCTGTAGTTTTCATTGTATAAATCTTTCACCTCTTTTGTTAGGTTGATTCCCAAGTATTTTATTTTTTTTGAGGATATTGTGAATGGGGTGGTTGTCTTCATTTCCATTTCAGAAGATTTGTCACTTATATACAGGAATGCCTTTGATTTATGCTTGTTGATTTTATATCCTGCCACTTTGCTGAATTCATTTATTAGCTCTAATAGTTTCTTTGTAGAACCTTTTGGGTCTGCTAGGTATAGAATCATGTCACCTGCAAATAGTGATAATTTAAATTCTTCTTTTCCTATCTTTATGCCTTTAATTTCTCTCATCTGTCTAATTGCTCTGGCCAGTATTTCGAGAACTATATTGAATAGTGAGAGAGGGTGAGAGAGGGCATCCCTGTCTTGTTCCAGATTTTAGAGGGAATGCCTTCCATTTTTCTCCATTTAGAATGATGCTAGCCTGAGGCTTAGCATAGATAGCTTTTACAATGTTGAGGTAAGTTCCTGTTATCCCTAGTTTTTCTAGTGTTTTGAACATAAAGGGATGCTGTACTTTGTTGAATGCTTTTTCTGCATCTATTGAGATGATCATATGGTTCTTATCTTTAAGTCTATTGATGTGGTGAATAACATTTATTGATTTCCGTATATTGAACCAGTCTTGCATCCCAGGAATGAATTCTACTTGATCATGGTGCACAATTTTTTTGATATGTTTTTGTATTTGATTTGCCAGAATTTTATTGAGGATTTTTGCATCTAGGTTCATTAAATATATTGGTCTGTAGTTTTCTTTCTTTGAAGTGTCTTTGTCTTGTTTTGGAATCAGGGTGATGTTGGCCTCATAGAATGAATTTGGAAGAGCTCCCTCTTTTTCTATTTCCTGAAATAACTTGAAAAGTATTGGCATTAATTCTTCTTTAAAGGTTTTGTAAACTCTGCTGTATACCCATCTGGTCCTGGGCTTTTCTTGGTTGGTAGTCTTTTGATGGCTTCTTCTATTTCCTCCATTGATATTGGTCTGTTTAGATTGTGTGTATCCTCCTGACTCAATCTGGGCAAATCATATGACTTAAGAAACTTATCGATGTCTTCACTGTCTTCTATTTTATTGGAATATAGGGTTTCAAAATAATTTCTAATTATCTTCTGTATTTCTGTAGTGTCTGTTGTGATATTGCCTTTTTCATCCCGTATGTTAGTAATTTGAATTCTCTCTCTTCTTCTCTTCATTAGCATGGCTAAGGGTCTATGATCTTATTTATTTTTTCGAAGAAGCAACTTTTGGTTTTGTCATTTTTTTCCATAATTTCTTTTGTTTCAATTTTGTTGATTTCTGCTCTGATTTTAATTATTCCTTGCCTTCTGCTACATTTTCTGTTGTTTTGCTTTTCCTTTTCTAGGGTTTTGAGATGAAGTGTGAACTCATTTATTTGTTGTTTTTTTATTTTTTTGAGGAATGAACTCCAAGCAATGAATTTCCCTCTTAAAACTGCTTTCATTGTGTCCCATAGATTCCGATATTTTGTGTCTGTATTTTCATTTATCTCTAGAATTTTTTGATTTCCTCCTTTATGTCTTCTGTAACCCATTGATTATTTAGTAACATATTGTTCATTTTCCAAGTGATGTAGGATTTTTCCTTCCTTCTTTTATCGTTGATTTCCAGTTTCATTCCATTATGATCAGATAAGATGCATGGTATTATCTCCACACCTTTATATTTACTAAGGGTTGCCCTATGGCATAATATATGGTCTATTTTTGAGAAGGATCCATGTGCTGCTGATAAAAAAGTATATCCGCTTGATGATGGTTGATATATTCTATATATGTCGGTTAAGTCTAGGTTATTGATTGTGTTATTGAGTTCTATAGTTTCTTTATTCAACTTTTGTTTGGAGGATCTGTCCAATGGTGAGAGAGGTGTGTTGAAGTCACCCATAATTATTGTGTTGTGGTCTATTTGATTCTTGAACTTGAGGAGAGTTTGTTTTATTAACATTGCAGCACCATTATTTGGTGCATAAATATTGAAAATTGTTATGTCTTGTTGGTGAATAGTTCCTTTTAACAGTATATAATGTCCTTCCTTATCTCTTTTGATTAACTTAGTCTTTAAGTCGATTTTATTTGATATGAGGATGGCCACCCCTGCTTGCTTCCGAGGACCGTGTGTGGGGTATGATTTTTCCCAACCTTTCACTTTCAGCCTGTGTATGTCTTTTCCAATCAGATGTGTCTCCTGAAGGCAGCATATTGTTGGATCTGTTTTTTAAATCCAGGTTACTAGCCTATGTCGCTTTATTGGTGAGTTTCAGCTATTAACGTTTAGGGTTACTATTGATATATGGTTTGTACTTCCAGTCATGTTTGATTATTTATCTTTGTTTTTAAAATTTGGTTTGTTTCTCCATGATTAGCTTTTTCCCCTCCCTCACTCTCACTTTACTGAGGCACTTCCCACTGTTGGCTTTGGTTGTTGTTTTTCATTTCTTCCTCGTGTAGTGTTTTGCTCAAGATGCTTTGCAATGCGGGTTTTCTGGCTGCGAATTCTTTTAACTTTTGTTTATCGTGAAAGATTTTTATTTCGTTGACATACCTGAAGCTTAATTTTGCTGGATACAAAATTCTTGGTTGGCATCCATTGTCTTTCAGTGTTTGAAATACGTTGTTCCAGGATCTTCTTGCTTTTAGCATCTGTGATAAAAAATCAGCCATTAACCTTATTGGTTTACCCCTGAATGTAATCTGCCTCCTTTCTCTGGTAGCTTTTAATATTTTCTCTTTGTTCTGTATATTGGATATCTTCATAACAATGTGTCTTGATGTTGGTCTACTGTGATTTTGTACGCTCGGTGTCCTGTATGCATCTAGAATTTGTACATCCATTTCCTTTTATATATCTGGAGAGTTTTCTAAAATTATTTCATTCAACAGATTGCTCATTACTTTGGATTGGACCTCTATACCTTCCTCTATCCTGATGACTCTTAAGTTTTTTTTTTTTTAATGTTATCCCATATCTCTTGGATGTTTTTCTCATGGTTTCTTACCAGCCTTTCTGAGTTGGCTAGACTCTTTTCAAGATGATATATTTTGTCTTCATTGTCTGACTTTCTGACTTCTACTTGCTCCACTCTGCTAGTGATACTCTCGTTTGAGTTTTTAATTTGGTTTATAATTTTCTTCATTTCTAGGATCATTGTTTGATTTTTTAAAAATAATCTCTATCTCCTGGTAAAGTTGCTTATTTGCTTCTTGAATCTGTTTATGTAATTCATTTTCAATGTGTTCTTTCATTGTTTGAATTTGCTGTCTCATGTCCTCTTTAAGATTCCATTCCATCTGTATAAGGTATTCCTTGAGTTCTTTATTTGACTATTTTTCTGATGCCTCTAGGTTCTCCTGTAGATTTAGGCTGTCCTGCATTGTTTGTGCTCCTTTTCTTCCTTGCTTTTTCATGCTGCTCATGTTACTTCCAGTTCTGTTTGACTGCTGAGTTACTGTTTACTCCTATAAATTTATTTTGGTTTTGTGTATCTCTGGGGTCTCTCCTTTGTGATGGGAGACTATGGACTAGAGATGATGAATTTTATTGCACTTTAAAGCAGATTCATTCATTTCATAAAATGTGTACGGATTCTGATGGCATATAGCGATCTCCGGTTTGGTCTTGGGACTTATGTTTATGTCGAGTGATGTGATGGTGTAGAGGTTGGTATTTCTTGGCAACCTTGGAAGATTGCTCTACTGACGAGGGATATTAACAGGAGAATGGTCCAGAGTATTTGGAGGTAGCTAGGGAATTGGTAGCACTATATAACGCCTTGGAACATTTACCTATACACATTTAGTAAATTACACATAAACAGCGTCGTAATGCTTGGGAGGAAAGATATTAGAAGTGGAGGGAAGAAGTCGCTAAAGAGAATGAGAGTAAATAGGTAGAATTCAAGAAAAGGGGAATAAGGAAATTGAAAAGAAATGAAAAGACAAAATAAAATAAAAAATAAAAATAAGAAAAAATTTAAAAAATGCAGTCTTAGAGTTCGATTAACTTCTCTTCCAGTAGGTGGAGCTGTGCCCACCGGGCCAAGCTTCTCCCCTCGATAGGCAGGAACCAAACCCTGTGAGGGGGCTCCTCCTCCCCCACTGGGCGGCTCTGCAATCACTCACGGGAAGGCGTGGGGGTCCCTTGAGATTTCCCCGCTGTGTGGAGAGGAGGGGCCCGGGGGTCACACACCTGCAGTCACTGGTTTCGATGAAGCTATCCCCTCCACCGAATTCTGGTGACGTCAGTTCTCTGCCATGATGGTGTCTAATGCGAAGGGCAGCGTTCGTTCTCTTTGCTGGGTGTCCAATGCGAAGGGTGGGTCTGGTCTGACTCTTCCAGGTCCCATCTCAATTCTGGGCCCGCTGCCTATGAAGGCTCAGTTGGTATCACCTCAAAAGGTTCACGGAGTAACCTAAGAGTTGTTTCTCTATTCCGCAGGAGTGTCTGTAGCACTGAGTCACGGCAGTTTGGTGGCAAGACGCAATCAGCCAGAAACTGCATACGGGGAGCCTGAATTCACCCGCTCTGGGCTCGGTGTGGGCTCTGAGGGGCACAAACTGCTCACCTTAGGTCCACCTCAGCCCAGCATTACCAAGTGATCCTGAGCAAATAGCATTCAGTCGGTTTAAGACTCCCTTTGCCCATGCAGCTGAAGAGGTCACAGAACTGATTTCTCAGCGCCCGCTGCCATGTTGGATCTCGCCTGGCGATGATTCTCCTGGCCCTGCTCCCTGCTCCCTGCGTTGTCCATGCTCAGAGGGCACAGGACAAGGTGAACTCATTCCCATTATGAACCCCTAGTCCTGTGAAAAGAGGAAGCTGAACCAAGTAAAGTGTATTAGTCTGCTTGGGATTCTATAACCAAATGCCATAGAGTGGCTACTTACAAACAGAAATTTTATTTCTCACAGTTGTGGAGGCTGGAAAATTCAAGATTAAGTCACCAGCTTCTTGGCTCATTATTAGTGTCTTCTTGTTGTGTCCTTATGTAAGAACAAGGGAACTGGTGTCTCTTTTGTGAGGACATGACTCCCTTTCATGTCCTCAGTTTCTATTTGCCTCTCATAGATTCTAATTCCCACTATTATCAGATTAGTGATTACATTTCAATGATGAATTTTGGAGTGACATAGACATTCAGACTATCAAGCTAAGATACAGAAAGAGATTCTGGAAACAATGACATGTACTGATGATAGCAGACCATTGTGATGAGAATTTGCAAGCAGTAGTAAACTATGTGCATATTCCCTTTGCAATAATGCACTGTTCCCAAATAAATATCATTATTATTTGGAGAATTTCTCTCTGTATATATTTTAAGTTGACATATATGATGTCCAGAAATGGGACCAGAAGCAAGAGCACTCTTGGAGGGAATCAGCAACTCTAAGACCCAGCATAGTACTTATTTTGAACCTACCTTTTTTGCTTTGGTGAGCCTTCTCTCAGGTTGAGTCCCTGCTGGTAGAGTGAGATTATATGGGATCTGGTTTAGATAAGGCTGCACTGCACAAAGGACCTGGCATCAGTTTGTGGGATTATAAAAGAATTTTGTCTTTTTCAGAAAACCCTTTGTGGTATATAAGGACACACTCCTGGGTTGACTACTTAGATTTCACAGAACTGCCTGGTATTCTTTGACAATCTCACAGGTTTCTAGGTGCATAGTTCATAGTTGTTTTGATTTTTGTAGTCAGCTTTCTCGCTGCTGTGAGTACAGGATCTGACCAGAACAAATGCAAGGAGGAAAAGTTTATTTGAGGGCTCACAGTTTCAGAGGTCTTAGTCCATAGAAGGCCAGCTCCATTCCTTGGGGCTCAAGGTGAGGCTGAACATCATGGTGGGAGAGTGTGGCCGAGGGAAAGCAGTTCACATCAGGAAGAAAGAGAGCAACTCCACTCTCCAGATACAAATATATACCCAAAGCCACGCCCCAATTCACACCCCTCCAGCCATACCCTTTCACTTCAGTTAATCCCATCGGGATTGACTCACTAAGAAGGCTAAGGCTATAACTCAATCATTTTTCCTCCAAACTTTCTTTCATTGTTTCATATATGAGCTTTTGGGGGACACCTCACATCCAAACCATAACAATCTCCATGCCTAATTTTAAATTCCGTTAGCACCTTTATTTTGGTGTCTTAGATGTATTGATACAGTTTCTATACGCCAGAACAACCTCTCTTTGAGGGTCCAGTCAGCTGTTATGGTCCATTCTTGTGTACATTTTTAGTGAGAAAATTATACTAAAGATAATTTAAGACCATTTTAGTGATCATTCCAACACCTCAAGCCTTTTCTAAGAACTTAAAAATTGCCTCTCTGTACACACTGTCTCAAGGCTTAGCTGAAATGTTCCCATTCTCCAGTTACCCTACTCCGAGCAGACTTCTCCACCCCACAATGCTGCTCAGTGGCTAACCTAATTTTATGATGGACATGCTAGCTCTCAGTCTGCTGATATGAACAGAGTTAAAAAGGGGACCAGTCTTTAGGGCTATGGGATGAAGCAACACTCTAGGAGAGGTGGGGCTGGGAAGTCAGCTCAGCCTCCTAAAGCTACGTGGTCAACAGAAATACCAAGAAGCCAGAGGCAGAAGGTCAAGGCATAAAACATCAAACTCAGAATGATAGTCTGCCCTCTTCTGAAAATGATAGACTTTATTTTATTAGCGTATTAAAATTCCACACCCTAAGTGGAGACTAAGATGGTAAAGAGGCAGGCATTGCTTGAAGAGGCTTGATAAAGAAGAACAAGGGTGCAACTAACCACCCCCACTTCCATGTGATGAAATCAAGGGACTGGGTTCCTGCCTACCCTCCAGATGCCATCCAAGCTGAACACCTTTGTCCTTTGAGCCAGTCTGATGCTCTTGGTCAACACTACATCTCCCTTCTTGCTTCTGCAGAAGCCCCCAGTGAAGAGCCTTGGTCCTGTTACACTGTGCATGTGCCTGATTATTCTAGAAGAAAGCACAAGAACCCATCATGCCTGGAATACTTTGGTGTCCAACACCCACTCCTGCTTCAGAGACCCCAAAGGTGAGTCCCAATGGCAGATATAGTTGACCTGGATCTACCTTCAACTGTTTGAACAAACACCCAAACTTGTTTCTGCGTCCTAGCTTTGGTGGGTGTAGACCCCCAGCTATTCTGTCAATGAGGTCATCCCACAAGAAAACACTCCCTCCCCTGCCTTTGTCCTTTTTTCTCTCCTCCTTTCTATTGATCTCTTTTCAGCAACAGGGGATAATTTTCACCCACCCATTTGAGCTATAGCTCATCTCTTTGGAGGGTGACTGGGAGACTCCAGAACCACGTGCATCTAAGAGACCAGTGGGCAAATCCTACCCAGGATTTGATGGAGACCCAGATCCCCAGTGATATGCAGGAGCCTATTTGGTCTTTCCTTTCACTTAATTTTTGCTGTCTCTTCCCTTTTTTCTCTCCTTTCTTTCTGGAAAGGGAAACAGAGCATCTGATGGGTTATTCTCGCCACCCATCCTGTGACTTGGGTGTTACAGGTAGCAGGGGAATGAACTAGTCCAGCTTTGAGTCTCTTGCCTGGATGAGCCTTACTTTTCCAGTAATTTCACAGAATCAAAGTCCTCAAAGAATTTATGGGGTTGAAGTCTTTAAACCTCCCTGGGATTGAAGCCCCTACTGGAATTATCAAATGAACATCTTGCATGCTCTGAGTCTTCAGTTATAACTACAGTCTGAGGTTATCAGTGTTGGAAACCCCAGAGGTGAGGTCTTAATTTGCAGGTGAAGGGTTGGAGGTCCCCATCTCTTTCTGGACAGCCAGATGTCCTTTTGATTCAGTATCTTTTTCTTTCTAATCATGTTCTTTCTTCCTAATGTTTCTCCTTGTCTTATTCTGTATCTTCCTATGACCTGTCTCATCCCCAGGGAGTTCATAGTCTTGAAACCTTCATAAGCTTGAGCTCAACATCTTCTCTGGGTTTGTGAGCTATTCTCTTCTTTGGTTTCTCTTTTCTACCTAGTATTTAAAGGATTTTGAGAGATTTGTTTCAAATGATGGGTTGGAATTTTTCTCACTGAGTATAAGGCTTGTACCCATCCCTGGGACACTGAAGTGAGGCCACCACCCCTATGGGCAGAGACAACATCTGACATGATAAAGGGTAAGTCTTGGGTACAACATAATACATTAACTGTCGTTTTATAAACTGGATTTGTTTTACTATCCTACCCTGTCTTGTGATCAGAATTTTAGCATAAAGCTCTACCTTTTTCTGAGAAAGCCTTCCCTTCCTTTGAGGTCCTAAGAGCTTATAGCTACCTCATCACATGACTTCCCAAGTCTCTTCCACATGCCCTTTCTGTACAGTATGGTGAGCCCAAATAGATTTCAAATCCCCTCTTCTGGGAGCATTTGGAGACCTCTTTTACCTCCCCTTCTATTGCTCTTGCCCCAATCAAGATGTTAATGCTACTATCAGAACTTCACCTCCTTTAAGGCATTCTGGGAACCTATTCTTTCTTCTTCCCATTAGGAATCTATAGCTATCCTATATAGTTTAATCATACTTTCCCTTCTTCAATGAGTGATATCCCCTATCTCTTGGTCCTTTAAAAGTCACTGGGGGTGGTGGTGGTTAGTGAACACCCAATGGTTACCACACCACTCTTCCCCCAATCCCTTGAAGAGCCCCGTAAAAAATCTCTATAAAATCAGAGGCTTTGAGAGGCATTAGACTTGCAAACATTTCTTGGGTTTGGTTTAATCAAGGACAAGCCCCTCTGTGCAATCAATGCTTTAATTGAAAGGGAGCTCCCTTGTCTATGGCCATACTACCCTGAACACACCCAATCTCATCTGAAAGAGAGCTCCCATCTGACACTATGGCTTTTTATTCCAATGGGCTATATTGATAACTGCTTAATATGTTTTGGTTGTCTCTTGTGAATCCTTTGAGATGGTTCTTATACCTCAATTCAGGGTTAACTGTAGAGGCTTACTTGCTCTGTGACCCTCTACCTTATATTTTTCTCTTTCTTAAATTGTCTTTACCAAGATAATTTGTTATTCAGCATCATTTTGAGTGTCTCTTATATCTTAACTAACATTGACTAAAACATAACATCTGCAAGTTAACTCTTAGATTCACTTGAGGACAAAGGGAGGGGAGGTCAAGTGCCTTTTTAAAATCCCAGCTGCTGTAGAGATGCTTAAACAGGTGGCCTTAAATTATTCCATTTTTGTCATGAATATTATTTGGATTCAACTCTCTTTTTTATAAACTGAATTTGTTTTACTATCTTACCCTGTCTTGTGACCAGAATTTTAACATAAAAGTTAGATAAACTTCATTCGTGTATGTATGTGTTTTGGGTACATGTTCTATGATGTGTTTACATAATAAAACCTTCCAAGATGTTCTATTCAGATTGGCTTACAGATAAGTGAGGGCTCACATACATTAACACTGTAAAATTGATTCAGCAGAATTTTAGTTCACACACTATAAATCAACTTTTGACAAATGGGTTAATTTAAATTTGTTGGTAAAATACAGAAAAGAAGATATCTTCAGAATTGTCAACATTCATTTTTGCCTGTTGCTTG